AGAGAGAAAGAGAGAGAGGGAGAGGGTGCCAGCATTTCCCTCTCCCTGCCAGGAACATGGCAGTAACCCCAGATGACTGCTGCCTCATCCAGAAACACCTTTGAACCCTTTATGTCTCCACCTTCCAAGTCCTGTCCTCCACCCAAGAGGAGGAGTGAGGAAAACCAGGCAGGCTGGCGTCCTCCTGCTTCAAGCTCTCAAGCTGGTGATAGTCTCTCCATAGGGAAGGATGGATGCCTTGGGTGTTATGATAAATTGAACCAGGAAACAGTCTCAACTTTCTAAAGTGCTAAAAAATGAGCATGTCCTACTTAAACTAATGAAAAAGATGAGAAATCTGCTTGACAAAGTGTTCACGGGTGAGGTGGGAGAGTTGAGAAGCTAAGAATGTGTCCAGAGGGGAGGCAAAAGACAGTGAAGTTAATGGATTGGTTATGAATGGAAGTAAACCATGCTCACTCTCTAATGTGGAGTAATCATTCATAAGCATATCTGCATTTGTATTCCTTAGGTTCTTAATAATTGTCTTTCCTCTACAGAGCTATAGTTGCCTGACTATGGCATTAGGATTTTAACAGTCACAGTGGGGGACACAGGAGAAAGTCATCCTCGCCCACAGACTTGTGCCAGCCTGTGTTTGCTGCACATTTAGCAGGCATAAATGGATAAGAGATCAACTAGGTTGTTGACTAAGGAGGAAAATTCCTATCATAAAGAATAAAACAGGCCAGGTGCGGTGGCTCACGACTGTAATCCCAGTACTTTGGAAGGCCGAGGTGGGTGGATCATTTGAGGTCAGGAGTTCGAGACCAGCCTGGCCAACATGATCAAACACCATCTTTACTAAAAATACAAAAAGTAGCCAGATGTAATTGTGGGTGCTTGTAATCCCAGCTACTCTTGAGGCTGAGGCACGAGAATCTCTTGAATCTGTGAGATGGAGGTTACAGTGAGACAAAATGCCACTACTGCACTCCAGCCTGGGCGATAGAGTGAGTCTCAGTCTCAAAAGAAAAAAAAAGGAATAAAATAAAAGAATCAACACTTTGGAGCAAATTACAGACATGGGAGTGAAGGGGAGTATGTCAGGGACACCTTCAAGGATTCACTTTGAATCACTGATAGTGGTAATATCATTAAGAAAATTAGAAAGATCTATAGGGAACCTGGAGAGGCCCCTGGCAAAGCGTTGCTGACGCATGTTGACTGATGCCACAGACACCCAAGCAGACCATACAAGCAGAGGGTTAAAGAAGTTAAAGGTTAAGGGGCAATCCAAGCAGAGAAAGAAATAAGCCAGCACTTAACCCATGTATGAAGCTTGGGTGGAGAGAGCAAGAACACTTTTCTGACTTTAGGTCCTGTTTGTCATAAAAAAGCTAGACTCATATTAATGTGTCAAGTGTTATAATGTTACAAAGAAAATCCTACAGGAGCACAAATGAGGAAGTGATTCCTTCTGGGTGGGAGGCAGTCAAAATTCAGCCGACTCTTGAAGGATGGATGACAGATACGAGGATCGATCCAGACCAAACCTCAGGAGGAAGCTTCCAGTAGAAACTGTGAGTGATCGTGATGCCAGCTGCAGAAGCAGGAAGCCCGGGGCGGCTCACGCTGCCAAGCCTCCGGGATCTGAGGAGGGCGCACAGAAAAGCAACTTGGTGGGGATAAGTGTCACCAGACCATATGAGAGACAGGGACTTGTATCTGTACTAATTTCTGGAAGTGATGGATCTGTTTGTTTATGGTACGGAGAGGGGCAGAGGGCTTTGACGAGAAATGAAGGCTATTTGGAAGAAAGCAACAAAGATGATCAGGATGATAGCTGGGGAGATGGGGAAAGAGTCCTCCTCCTCTGCAGAAGGGTCTCTGTGGGAACTCACGGCAGAGTGATAATGAGAGCACAGCCAGTCCTGTGACAAAGGGGAGGGCGAGGGAGAGGCACACAGACTCGGGGACAGACCAATTATTGGGCAAGGAAACCAGGTGAAACTGAAGACAGCTCTGAGTTGTTGAGCCAGCACATCAGAATCATGGTGAGGAGCATAGATGGTTTAAAAAACATCAAGGGAAGATTCAGTCTTGCATTTGACATGAATACAAGGCGTTGCTGGGACGCCTAGGCACACACCTGGAACCAGATGAAGGAAAGTAGAGAGGGAAAGTTTAACTTGCACTCCGAGACAGAGAGTTGAAGCCATAGACCTTAGATGGGTGGTTCTCAGACTTCAGCCCACCGCAGCAGCACCTGGAGGGCTCCTTACAGCACAGGCTGCTGGGCCCACACCCAGAGCTTCTCAGCCAGCAGAGCTGGGAGGAAATTGGCACTTCCTGTGCAGGAGACACTGGTGCTGCTGCTTGTCTGAGGACCACACTTTGAGAACTACTGCCTTAAAAGTAACTGAGGACGCAGTGGCTCAAAGTGTGGTCCCAGAACAACTAGCAGCACCAGTTCTTTCTGTGGGGAAAGAACTGAAAAGAACCGAAACAAAAACAGGCCCCCGCCCTCAAAAGGCAGGGGGGAAAAGTCAGCCCTCTTCCCCTGAGAGTCTGGTTTCCCTGGCCTGGGCCCAGGTGATGTCATCAGTATTTTTATTGCTCTCCAGGTGGTTCTGACATGCTTCCAGGATTGAGAAACACTGATCAAGGAGGAGAAACAAAAGTTATTTAATTTTTTTTTAAAGAAGTAGACAAAAAGCCCACTTTTTTTTTTGGCACTGATCTAATTCTCTTTTCATTCCTCAGGGAAAGCAGTTGAAATACCATTAGTTAACAGATTGCCCAATGAAATCGTTGACAACTGTGATAAGACATTTCTCACTATCACAGCGTCTTCCAGAGACACAGTGTGTGACGCTCCCAAAGCCCAGATGTCCCTCTGCTCCCCAATCTTCTTTCCCCAGAAAGATGTCAACGCTGCGGAGATTGTGCCATGAAGACGCCTGGTGTGGCATCACAATAGATGAAATATTAAGGGCAATTCAACAATTTTCTGAACAAATAAATGGATTCAACCTGAAGTTGAATTTAATTTGACTTCAAGAAAAATTACATTTCTGGTCCTCCTGTGATCATGTACTAAGAATTATTTAACTGCAGATACGGTTGTTATCTTTAGAGCTAGAAGGTCTCATTTTAGAATTGAAATGAATGGCAACCCAGACAGATAAAGTTTGGTCACGATCATCCCACTGCGGAGGCAGAGCCGGTACTGGCCATCCCCGACCACCCCAACACTCTCCAGGTCTCACGCATCTAATCTCTGTCTCCGCCAAGGGAATGTTTTCCTTCCATTTATTCTTAGAAACAACTAAGGGAGCTTTAAGTTAAATACATGCTGCCAAGTTGAACCCAAGAAAACTAAAGTCAAATACATTAGCAAACGCTTAATGTCTTCTCTATTTTGGCATTTCTCGCTCAATTTCTATTTCTGAGTAAGGGCTGTTCAGATGAATAAAAACATATTTTGAGGAAGCTGAGCTCATAGGACCTACAGGACTGCGAATCACAGACCGTGCATTCTCAGCAGTCAGCAATTCTGCTGGATTGAATTGGCATATTTCAAACTATGCATTTTTTGTTTAAAAGGGTGTGTGAATGCATTCACGAAATAATCTGTACTCTTTCCCACTAATTCATAGCTGCCTTCACAGTACCCAGTTTGATTTCACACTAAGCCCTTGCTGAGGATGTGAGAGTAGTACAAAGGGGAGCCCTGGCTCCTCCTCTCCCGCAGTGTGTTTCCTGGAAGTGGACTGTGAGCAGAGCTTCTCCGGCCACCTTACGCCTGCAGACAAGCTCCATGAGTGTGCTCTAGAAGAAGGCTTCAATCTGAAGAAAGTCAAATAAAACAAGGCAGGCTACCACAGAGGCTAGGGAAGGTGGACCCAGATTCAGATCCTAAGTCCGCTGTTCTGCAGGTACCTCTTAGGTGGCCGGGTCAGAGGCGTTATTCAGACTGCCTCGTGAATATTGGTTCTTCAGTGGTCACAAACCTACCACACTCATGCATGTTGCTAACAATAAAAGGCTAACTCTAGGGGAGGGGGTGGTGTCTATGAGAACTCTGTACTTTCTGCGTAATTTTTCTGTAAGCTTAAAATTGTTCTAAAAGTAAAGTTCATTCAGAAACAAAAAATAAAATAAAATAAATCATGTATCCTGAGTAAATATTACATAAAATTTATCTATGTTTTTACCTGCTTCTTCAAATGTTCTGACCATCACTGAAAATCTTTTCTTCATTTTGAACATTCTTTCCATGCCACTGAAATGCGTTCTTCCCGTTGATTTTGTTTTGTACTCTATACGCCGTGTATTCTACATCAGCAAAAGCTTCAGGATAAGTCTCCCAGCCGACCAACCCCATTAAATGCCTGCTGACTCTGGACTACATAGGTTCTTATATGTGGATTTTTTTTCAATCAATATTTTAGAACAATCTAATAATCTTGGAGATTTGCAACAGTTTTTAAAAACTCACAGATAAATTGTGTAGCCTAGAATTATTTTTTAAATTACAAGAAAGTTAGATATGTTATGAATGCATAAAATATCCACATTAATCTATTGTTTTTGTTATCAGTAAGGCTTCCAGTCAATAGTAGGCTATCAGTAATGCAGGTTTTGAGGAGTCAAAAGTTATGCATGATTTTTTTTTTTCTATGCAGGGGTTGGCTTCCTTAATCCCCTGCTGTACCAGGGTGACCTGTGCACACCTATATCACACACACACACACTCACACACACACACACACACATTTGCACACAGGCACATCACATTACCAGAGGCCACGTCAAAGAAAATTAAATGGAAAATCTCAGCAAATCAGATGAGGTGGGGTTCTAGGATATTTATTTTAAAAATAGTACTGAATGTTGTGTATGTGATAATTCAAAGCATAAAATAGCTAACATAGAATGTGGAAAAGTATATTAACAGAATTCATTTCAGTCTATTTAAGTAGAGTCACGAGAAGGAATTTTAAAAGACTACGACATATGCCCCTTTTTGATGAGCCCTAATAGAGACAGAATTTAAATTTCTATTAGATTCCATCTTTCAAAATTGATTATAAAGTCTTAAACTCACAAATAGGGACCCTGTAGACTCAGCTGTCTCTTTTTTTCCAAGATGGAATTTCTCTCCTCATCAGGTCATTGTGTTTGCAATGGGTCCATGGAGACAGCGACTTCTCTGAAGCTTCCGTTCCACAGTGGTTCCACCTTCACGTGTATCCCTCAGAGGCACCCTGCAGCCACTTCATCCATCCAAGTACTCAGTTGTAGGATTCAAAAGCAAATTGCAGGGTTTGCTGCCTGACAGAGGAGCACAGAGTCAAAGCATGAGAGAACAAAATCTATGAGTTGACAATATCATGGACACAGATAGATACGTGCAGAATATCAACTAAGAAATAAGCAATATACGTAAACAATAGAACTGTGAGTAGATGAAGCCAGTGCTGGGTAGAGATGACAAAAGTTTTGTGTCCTATTAGAGCTAAGTCAGAAAGCTGGGTTGAAGGGAAAGTGAGGGTGCAAAACGCCATTAAAATATTTAAGGAGCAGTTTCAATATTTTTAAAACGTGAAGGAAAATTTGCAAGCAATCTCCGTGGCTGGAGGGAAAGAGACTCAAAGCCCCTCAGCCTGCTCCACAATTATCTTATGCGTTCCAATAACTGACATGTTGCTGAATATTATGACTATTTGTTTATTGTTGACTGTTCTTGGCACTGCCCAGTGTAGCCAAAGATTCCTTGCCTACAGTAAAGTCTTACTCAGACAATAAAACAGGGAGAAAGAAAATCGTCTTGAGAAAAGTGGCATTTCAGAGGGAAAGGAATTCCACCAGAGGCAAAGAAACCCCCGTCCACCGCAGAATCAGAGCTCAGTATCTCTTATGTCTATCTATGAAAGCCGTCATGGAACCCCAGGCGGGGGCAGGCGGTTGGTACATAATGGTTTGTATTGTAATCCCCCGTTTTCAGACACATTTTTCTGAAAGCATAAACTTTGCTGGCTCGGATTGTATAAACCTAGTGGGATTTTTTACTTTTTCTTGGAAGGCGTTTGTCTCCCAGTATCATAAAATTTAACAGTCTGCTTTTCATGGTAACAGTGTGGCCTTGTGGTCCCCGATCCCCAGTGTCTATGTGCACAGTGCATAATTTCCCTTTGTTTCCTCTGAATTCTGCCTCTCCACCCTTTGTCAGTCTAAATGGGCTTTAGTGTCTAATTTATCTCTTTATTTTCTCCGGCAATGTACCAGTTTTTCTTCTAGATCAACGCTTTGCCTGGTTTTGAGTTTGCCGTTTTAATTTTAGCATAATGCTTGGATTTACGAAAACCATCAAAAAGGGAAGAGCATTGGGCTTGTGGCCCTTCCTGGGACTCTTTTCACTTTGGTGTCTGCTGTGTTAGTGATTTAATGTCAGACCAATCCATGAACCCTTCACTTTAAACCAGGAGCCCAAAGGAAGCAAACAATGCCACCAGACAGAAATGAAAACCCAAACGTTATTATTAAATGAAAACTACACTCTCTTGCACCTGGCAATCTGCACTAAGGCACTCAGATCGCATATGGAAATGTTATTCAACTCACTCACAGCCATATTCCTTTAATGGCACTGAGGTGGTACTTAAAAAGGAGCAGGTTCCACATCAGAATCGCCAGCGTCTCCCAGGTAATCAAGACCACACTTCCTCTTCCGGGGTCCTGTTTCCCTGGCTGAGCCACACTGCCCTACAGTGCTCTTTACTGCTCTTTCACTAACATGCAGAAACAATGTTTTTCTTTCCAGTGCCTTTAAAACTTGGCCAAATTCTCCACGAAACTCCAGGAATTATTCATTACCTCACGTCCTTTATCCAGAACAGCAGCTGAGCATGTGTTTTGGTGAGCTGAATATTCTGGCCCAGTGCTGCTGTGTCATGCCCGAATGACCATTTTTGAAATGACAAAGGTGGGGAAAGAGAAAACACTTCTAGGGACATTTTGAGAGCTCAGCCCTGCAACCCTTCTCAGCCTCCTCTGACCCTTGTCTTTCTCCCTCCTGCTCTGTGCTATGCCTGTGTCTGGTCAGCTTCCTTCTTGACACTGACACGATTCTATGACTCAGGACATTGGCCTGGCCTCCCGCTGCCCAGGACAGGAGGAAACAACTGGGAGTGCTTATAAGGCAGCAATTCTAAGGTGGAGGGAGGTAGGAAGAAGCAAGGTAGATCAAGGACTCCCTCTCTCCCTCCCCAGAATTATCTGTGGTGCGATTCCTCCCTTCAGCTCTCCTGGAGAAGTCCTGTGGACCACGGGACCACCTGCTGAGAGACTGGTGAGTCTCCTGGGGGCTTCTGGAGCAGGGACAATGCTGGACATCACACCACTTATACTTCAAGCTTTCTTTTCTCGTTTTCCTTCTCCTCCATCCTCAGCACCTCATGAAGAACTGGCACCTGCTTTTTACCCCAGGCTCTGCTTTCTGAGGGTCGGGGGCCAGCCGAAATGTCCTTCCTGCAGGACATGAGGGTCAGCCTTGGGAGCTTCAGGGGGATGAGCACTGAGCTGCCCAGCAATGTAGAAAAGCGCACACTTCTCTGAGCTTCTGAGTGTCCTGACCGGTTGTCGAGTTTGGGTAGAAAAAGGATGACCGACAATGAGACAGGAACCTCAGAGCCTGTCAGTCACCGGGAAGGCAAGTGGATTTCTCCTCTGAAGAGCAGAGAGGAGAACCACCTGTTTGGTCTCTTTCTCAGATGTAACTTCATTGGAATAAAAGCTGCATAAGGCACTATGTATTAGTCAGGGTTCTCTAGAGGAACTAAGAGGATATATGTCTATATAACGGGGAGCTTATTAAGAAGTATTGATTCACACCGTCATAAGATGAGGTCCCACAATAGGCTGTCTGCCAGCTGAAGGGCAAGGAAGTCAGTCCAAGTCCCAAAACCTCAAAAGCAGGGAGGCCGACAGTGCAGCCTTCAGTCTGTGGTCGAAGGACCAACAGTCCCAAAGCTGAAGAACTTGGAGTCCCATGTTCACAGGCAGAAAGCATCTAGCACAGGAGAAAGATAAAGCCGGGAGACTAAACCAGTCTAGTCTTCCCATGTTCTTCTGCCTGCTTTTATACTAGCCATGCTGACAGCTGATTAGATTGTGCCCACCCAGACTGAGGGTGGGTGGGTCTGCCTCTCCCAGTCCACTGACTCAATGTTCATCTCTTTTGGCAACCCCCCTCACAGACACATCCAAGAACAATACTTTACATCTTTCAATCCAATCAAGTTGACACTCAATATTAACCATCATGTACTGTGACATTCAAGTCTTGATCCATTAAAATTCAGCCCTTTTGGGAAAAAAAACTCACTCCCTGGTTACAGCCCTTTCCTCATGTACAGCTCAGGGGACAGAGGAGGTGAGTGAAATGGTGTCTCCAGGAGGAAGAAGTCCTGGCTCTGAGCTTCTGCTCTGGAGATGGGGCTCAGTCAAGATGAAGTGGTGGTGACAGACCTGCTGGCTGGTTTTGTGCTCCCAAGTCTTTTACCATGTACAAAGAAATGTAGAGAGGCACACCTACAGAACAACCCAGCCCGATTAGTTTCCAGCCTGAAATCCCTGGGGACGTGGCATCCAGACGCTTTTGTATTTATTGCATTCTTCTTGTTCCCTTTATATTCTGGTGAGTCCCTCAGATCCAACCATTCAGCATCCAGTTCTAACCCACTTCCATGGAGAGGCTTCCCTGACACCTTCCTCTTCTACTCTGGTGGCATTGCTGCCATCACTGTTGTGTGGATGGCAAATAGATCATGTTCAAGTAGATCATGTTCTGAGTCACAGAATCACTCCACTAAAGTGCAAGAAGAGTGTGCAGTAACGGGTTAATTCAGGCCTGACTGAGCAAGTCCTGCACATTCTAAATAGAGGCCTTTCCCTGACCAGCTCCTGGGAGACAACCTCTGAGCCTCTGCCTTCTGCCTTCCCGGCTGCATTGTCCTCCTGTCTAATGTGGCATTATTGTCCCCTGTCCTGCACTCCTTGGGCTTATCACTCTGGCATGGATGGATTTTTAATCCCCTATAGTTCCTGGATGCGAAGTTACTTGTGTCAAGTAAATGATCTGGATTAAATTAAGAGCCCAAGAGTCTGTGTCTATTCCTGACAGTGGTACCATCTGTCACTTTTTAATTAGTTATATATCTCATCCTTTTGTTGTTAGGGAGATGCTGGACCTAAATCCATGAATCACTGTCCATGTCCACAGAGGTGCTGGGGAATCACGTCAGCAGCCGTCACAACAGTACTGGTGCTCAGTGAAGGGCAGCCGCATGGCAGCAACTTCATAGAACATTGTAAACATAATGTCACTCACCAGAAACAAGTTACCTTGTAGGTGTGCAGGTCCCCGTGCAATGGACTTAAATTCATAAATTGAATCCCTAATTGCCATTGTGATGGTATTGGGAGGTGGGGCCCTGGGAGATAATGGTGTTCACATGGGGTCCTGTGAGTGGGATTCTGATACGGTTCGCATTTGTGTCCCCGCCCAAATCTCATGTCCAGTTGGAGGACGCAGCTTGTAGGCAGTGACTGTATCATGGGGCGGATTTTCCCCCTTGATGTTCTCAGGATAGTGAGAGAGTTCTCATGAGATCTAATGGTTTAAAAGTGTGTGGCGCTTCCTCCCCACTCTTTCTCTCCTGCTGACATGTGAAGAAGATGCTTGCTTCCCCCTCACCTTCCACCATGATTGTAAGTTTCCTGAGGCCTCCCAGTCATGCTTCCTATTAACTCTGCAAAACTGTGAGTCCATTAAACCTTTTTTCTTCATAAATTACCCAGTTTCAGGTGGTTCTTTATAGCAGTGTGAGAACACACTAAATACAGGTGGGCATAATAGGATTAGTGCCCTTTTAAGAAGAGACTTTGGAGAACTCACCCTGTCCCTTCCCACAAGCAAGAAAGACAGTGGCTGTTAGGAAGCCAGGAAGAGCCCTCACCAGAAACAAACCAAGCTGGCACCCTGTTCTCAGACTTCCAGCCTCCAGAACCCTGAGAAAATGCATTTCAGTTGTTTCAGCCCACAGCCTATGGGGTTTTGTTATGACAGCTGGAAATGACTAAAATACCCAGTTTCTCAGATGAGGAACTGAAGCACCAAGAGATTAATGAACCTCCCCTAGACATACAACCAAAGATGGGAGGGGCTGAAACTTTCATCTGTTTCAGTTGACATATAACCAACAAATTAAGTTGAAGTTGATAGAAGCATCCAATTTCTAGATAATCTAGATAAAATTATTGAATTTCTAGATGATCGAGTCCCATTTATTTATAAACTTTTGAAAGACACTTTAAAAATTTCTCAATTTCATTATTTTCTTACTTTAAATTTTTTCACATTGAAATACTGTTAAATTTATAGAAGAGTTTCAAAGATGCTATAGAGAGTTTCCAGGTGTCTTCCACCCAGCTGCCTCTAATGTTATCACTACACGTATGTTGGGGTTCAGAAAACAATGGCCCAAAGTACTGTGCTTTGACATGCTGGCCTCTTTGAACTAAAAAAGCAGCCCCAAGATCAAGTTTCGATGACAGCCCTACTCCCGTGCATGACTCCTGCCCCTCTACCACTTCAGACGCACAGGCAAGTGGCCTTATCTGAGGTTCCCTTCCCAAACGAAGGGAAGTTCCTCTGGAGGGAATGCAGTTCTCCAGAGCCTGCTCCTTATAATTCCATCAAACAAGGAAGAGTAACTCATGGGAGAAAAAACTGGTGTGGACACCACACCCAGAGCCCAGAGAGACTCTGTCCCCGGCATTTGTCTGTTCTTCAAGCCCATTCACCTCCCCTAAAGATCATTTACTTTCCTTCTAATGGTGCCTACAGCTCCTGCTTCCATTTCCCGCATGGAAAAAGCTTATATACGTTTCATTGGCTTGCTGGGTATTGTGACGTCTCCGTGCACATAATAAATGCATGTCTTATCTCCTGTTTATCAGCCTATTTCAGTTCATATCTCAGACTCAAATATCAAACTTCAACAGGGAAGAGAGAGGGTTCTCTTTCCCCAACATATAATTTATTGTTGTGTATTTATCAAAAGTAAAAGAAAAAAGTATGAGTGCAATACTAGAAACTAGATTCCAGGCTTTATTCAGATTTTAGAAGTCTTTCCACAGAACAGCATCCTCTGTCCAATGCAGGATTCCACATCACCAGGGTGATTTCCTGGGCACACAACCCAGGCAGTACCAGGTCCCAGCCAATTCTTCAAGTTGCGTTTATTCCTGTTACTTTCTTCTCCTTTGATTGTGGCAGCTTCTCGGTCTTTCCTTGTAAGTGACAGTTCTGAGGATTACATGTCAGGTATTTTGTTGAATATACCTCAATTTAGATTTGTTTAATGTCTTCTCATGATTAGACTGGAGTTATGGCGTTTTGGTAAGATGCCATAAATTTTTTTTGACATTAACTTCATAAACAAAAATAAATTACTTAAAATTACTTCAGCAAATAGAGAACTCTGGCAAACTATGGTCAGTCAAATAAATCCTATTCTTTGCAAAGCATACCATTTCCCTTTTGACTGGTGAGACAATAAATATTTATGGATACTTCCAGCTTCTGCTGATTTGTTTTTGTTGAAGTAAATTACACATAGCATAAATTAAACAGTTTAAAGTTTAACCATTTTAAGTGTACAGTTCAGAGGTAGTTGGTGCATTTATTAATGAAGTGAGTAAGCAGGAAATATATGAGAAGAATTAAATCATGATTCAAAATTAGTTTTAAAGCACAGTATTTGGTTGTTCATTCTTTTCTTTCCACTGTTTACGAATTATGCCTCACTATTCTCAGAAAAAAAAAAATGGGCATTGATTTTATAGTTACGTATATGTGTGTGTTTGTGTACACAAACATGTGTGTGTGCATATACATGTACATATATGTATATATATGATCGTCATATATACCATCAAATGAGTTGCCAGGTTGCTTACAGAAGATGTTTTCTAGTATCCATGTGACTAGAACTTTAGTGTATAAACTTGAGTTTGTGAAGAGAAAAAGCAATACTTATCCAAGGGGAGCATTGTTAAATGGTATGATATTTGTCCTAAGCACTTTTCTCATGAATCGTTCCATCACAGACCATACCTTTGGAATTTTCCAGATGTAAATGCATAATGTAGTTAATTTACTTAATTTTTCACTTTGTCTTACATGTATTAATGGAAAAAAAAATGCTAAACATTGTAAAATACTTGAAGAGGTTTATTCTGAGCCAAATATGAGTGACCATGGCCCAAGACACAGCCTCAAGAGGTGCTGATAACACGCAGGGTGTCAGGTGACACCGTGGTTCTACACAGTTTAGGGAGGCAGTTGTTACATACATTAATACCTGCAAGGTATTACTAATGTATGCAAAGACCTATATGCATATATACATTCATACCTGTAAGGTGTACACTTATTCAGCCTGGAAAGGCAGAACATCTAGAAGCAAGGGGGCTCAGAGGCCATAGATTGCGTTCAAAGTTTTTCTGATTAGCAATTGATTGAAAGAGTTAAGTTTTGCTGAAAGTTTTGTAGTCAGCAGAAAGGTAATGTACTTGAATGAAGATAAGAGAGATTGTAGAAGCCAAGGTTCCTGTCATGTAGATGAAGCCTCCAGGTAGCGGACTTCAGAGAGAATAGACGGTAAATGCCTCTTTTCTGACCTGAAAAGGTGTCAGACTCTGTGGAAAAGATCTAGTAAGGGAAGGAGATTCTCTACAAAATGCAAATTTGCCCCCACAAGAGAAGGCTGTACAGAGCCCTTCCAAAATATGTCAAAGAAATATTAATATGTAATGGGGTGTGATACTTTGATTTCCTTCAGAATCTGTTCTCTGTCATGTGATGCTATACCAGAGTTAGGTTAGAATTCGGGTCTCTTATTGCCACAAAGAGTTGGTTTCATCAGTTTTAAGATCTCCATTTTCATGTTAATGCTGGTCTGTTGTGCCTAAATTCCTAAAGGGAGGGGTGTATAATCATGCATAACTGGCCGCCTTTTCCGTCATGACATGAACTGGTTTTGAGTTGGCTGTGGGGCTTAGAATTTTATCTTTGGTTTATGTATGCCTAGCTAGAACACTTGGAGCTTTGCAAGCAAAAGCCACAGCAATTCACCTTTAGAATTGTAATCTAGTATATCATTTCCTAAATGATATCTTAACAGATACTGATCCCTTGCAAGGACCCTCAGGAAAGCTCTTCTCTGTTAAGCCTAGGCTACCCAGTGGGGGACTTCCCCCACCCGCAGATTCCCTAGCGGAATAAAGGCTAGGACTGTTCTGCTCCAAGAAATCCACCTTGCTTGGTCAGATCCCGCATTTCTGGAACTTATTTGATCACAGATTTCTTTGATCAAGAGACACTTGTTAGCATTCCCTTTGGGAGGGTGTGATCCTAGAAAGTTTTCTTGTTTAGAGTAGAACCTGGTTATTGATCATGATGTTTTAAAACACCAAAATGGTTTTGTTTTTGTCTTGGTTCTTTTCCATCTGTGATAAACAAACCCCATGCGGGGAGCACACAAAAGCTACCTGCAAGGGCATTCCAGGGGCAAAATCAGCATTTATGTCATGCTCCTTTGTGTGACTTTGGTTATGTTAACTAAAATCCTGGTTACTCACTTTTCAAGTTACCCCCAAGACAGGAGTGAGCCTTGATCAGAAATGATAGAGAGGAAATTGAGTGTTTGCCAAAAGAAATGTGCAAACATGAAACAAACATTTGCCGACTGTTAATGCTTTGATTGGCAACCTAAGGGCATTCTTTAAGGCACTGAAATGAAACCAGAGCATAAGCATAAATGAGGTGATTCCCTTGCATTTCCTCATTCCCTATTGGGGGAAAGAAAAGCAAGCATAAGCCATGTGCTCAGCACTAGGATTCACTGCTAAGGGTCTTCTTAACCACAAAAGGCAGCCCCTGCCAGTGATGATTTCCCTCTGGGAGGTTAGGATATTCACCCACAGAAAGCTGGTGTTCCTGAGCAGGGAGAGGGTGGAGAATCATCATGAAAGTGGTAAGTTTTTAAGTTTTGGCCAAAACAGTGTGATGAAGACAGTCCTCTCTGTCTTCATCAGACACTACGGCACAATGACCTGTAGGTGTCAATTGCAAGTGTGTCCTCCACATCCATAGCCAAACAAACTCCTTGAGTAAAATAGGACACAGAACTCTGAGAGCCTGAGTGGGGTCCCTGGGGAAGACAGGAGCATCTTTCAGGAGATGCTTGGTGACAGCAGAGACCCAGAAGCCAGGAGAACCCATCCAAGCCCAGCCTGGCCTGGTGCTCTCCAGCTGTGGCCGCCACTTAACATCTCTTTTTCACAATTCATATGAAGGTAGCGATAATAGCAGTGTTATGACCAGAAGGTGGTCCTGATCCAGACCCCAAGAGAGGGGTCTTGTATCTCACACAAGAAAGAATTTGAGGCGAATCCATAGAATAAAGAAAAAACAAGTTTATTAGGAAACGAAAGGAAGGAAGAACGAATATTCCATAAGCAGAGCAGGGTGTTTCCAAAAATAAGGGGAAGAAGCCTCCCACCCTAAGTATAATGCTTGTTTGTATATAAAATAACAACAACAACAACAACAAATCATGGCAGATGTGCTCTACTACAAGAGATTGTGATAAAGGATTAATTTTCATTAATGACTTTATATACAAAAATCAATATTGTTATCTTTAAAGTAAAATTAGGAATGCTTTTGTCCTCAAGATATCAGAATATCAGGGCATTCCTGACCCTGGGTGTGTTTAGTAAACATTATTAATCTGTTCTTTTAACCATAAGCATCTAGAGGCTAGGAATGCAGAACTCCTGAGACTGCAGTGCAGCAAGACCCAGTCTCACTTTTCCTAGCCTTCATTCAAGATGGAGTCACTCTGGTTCTAATGCCTCTTTACAGGGTGATTGGTGATAATTAAAGCGTTAATAGAGTCTCTGGCACAGACCGTGTGCTGTAGGACTCTTACCTGGAATTGATCATCAGAACAGAGGATGTTGTCTTTCTGGCACACATAGGAGCAATGTGGCCAGGCCTGCCTTGAAGCTTGTCTGGATTACCAAGGATGTTCTAAATCTGCCTGGAGTTACCTGATAAGGAGAAGAGAACACACCTGCAGTGGGCCTCATGACGTCACACGTCGCTGTTCTTCCATTCACTGCCATTGCCTCACACGTGCTCCAGGCCTTGCTGGTTCTGGGGAGATGCTGGCATACAGGCTGGGGTCCTCACTATGAGCTTTTCTACCCATGCAACGAGTGGGAAGTTGTACTTACCAGAGACAGGGCCACTGAACCTCCAATCACCGAACAGGGGCTGCTGCGGGTGACGTTGCAGCCATGCTGGCCATTTGTTTATATTTTGGTATTTGTTTAAAATGTTGACTTTGGGCAAGCTGCTTTAGTATTTTCAACTTTGGAAAAGTGTATGCTTTAGAAAATTACGATTATAAGCCAGAGTGTCAGATATGCCCTCAACAGTTTAATTAAAAAAAAAAAATTGAGCACAGTGTCGGTAACATGGCAAAATCTCATCTCTATAAAAAATGCAAAAAATAGCCAGGCATGCTGGTACACATCTGTAGTCCCAGCTACTCCACACGCTGAAGTGGGAGGATCGCTTGAACCCAGGATGCAAGGCTGCAGTGAGCCGTGATTGTGCCACCACACTCCAAACTGGGTGACAGAGTGAGTCCCTGTCTCAAAAAAACAAAAATAAAAAAAAATTGAAGCCCCCCAGGCCTTATGGGGAACATTTTCTCTCTCTTTTTCTCTCTGTCTCTCCCCACAGAGGCTATGTGTCTGTGTGTGTTTGTGTGCGGAGAGCTACACCTGTTTGGGCAAGATTGCCACAATCTCCACTTTTAACCCAGGATGAGCTGGTCTGTGCCCACACCTCAGCCAAGATCCTCAGTGTGGCTCCGCCGTCCTGGAAGCTAAGGAGTTCACTCTGCTTAGATGAAGGGGAAATCTCTTGGCGTGGGAGGAAATTGAAGTCCCAGCATAATATATAGCAGGGAGACTGTAAAAGAATTTGAGAGACTACAGCAATGTGTTATGTTAACCCCAGTTACGCAGTGATGAGCGTGGTCACTGGAACACTGGAAATATCACTTGGGGTCAGAAATAAGTTATGTAAAAAGCGAACAATTAAGCGAGGTCGAGAGGTGGTTTGAGCCGCACAGGTCACCCCAGCATCGTCCCATCAGCTCTGGGTCAGGTGGGGTGTTATTTCACAGCATCCATCACTGCTATCATGCAAAAGGTAGATCAGTTTGCTTTGTCACATCTCGGCTGTTTTATGTCCTCAGTGTCACTCCCATGTGCCTGCAGCCTTCATGGGAAACCCAGTATGAAAACTGGCAATGTGCAGAGAGACTTGGACACTTAAATCTACAAGCAGAGCATGTAAATTTCAGTTCTTGATGCACTATGTCCAAGAGAAAACAATGGCAGTACACTGATGCTGAACAAAATAATATCATGTCATTCAAAACAACTACCCTATTACGGTGACAAACAGTAAGAAACACATCAATTCATTAAAATGGGAATAGTTAACATGTGAATACCAATTATTTATATTGATATTCATCTTGTGACATAATTCATCTTACGACATTCATCTTATGACATCAATAAAGAAAAAAACATGTTGCTCTTACTTCAACTATTAATTAGGATTGAAAAATTAAACATTCATTCCTTCCATTATTGCAGAACATTATTACTTCCTTTGTGTCCTAAAATATCTATTCTTTGTTTATTCTCATCTCATCTTTATAGATAACTATGAGTCATTCTGGAATTGAGTTTTAGCCTTCTAACCTGCAAATGATATATAGAATAGTCTATCACTCCTTCTGTCCTTAGAAGTAGTAGATTTGGGTTAAACTAAACTGATATGCATTTCTCTTTCACGAAAGAGAAGCTGGCCGTGGGGAGGTAGGCTGTGGGATGGGTTTTGCTGGCCAGGGGGAGGCAGGCTGAGGGATGGGCTTTGCAGGATTTTTGGAGGCTCCTGATCTCTGAGGAAGCATCCTCCTCAGCACTCCACACACATTGCCACATCATTGCCCAAGATTGTCACTAGTGCTCCAGCCATTGTATCTATTTCCAGCCAGCAGAAAGGAGGCAGAAAAGAGCATTTTTCCTCCAAGGACATTAACTGCTTCTACCCTGTTTATATTCTGCTAGCTAGAACTGATCTCTTGACCTCAACAAGCTTCAGCAAAAACTGGAAAATGTAGCCTTTATTCAGTAGGGCCCCCTATGCCCAACTTAGAATAAAAAACAAGGAGCCTATTACTCAGCAGGAAAGGAAAGCCCCTTCTGGGAGCTACTGTGTCAGCTCAGCCATGTTCATTCATCTTATGACATGAGTAGATTATTCAAGTGTTCACGGAAGTGACATTTATTATGTGCCATAAGTTCTTTTCATATTCCTGGGTTATTTAGAGCCATGACTGTGTAGGAAACTAGAATATCTCCCTTCAAAATGTGTGTGAACTAAGAAAGTAAAAGTCACATGGTCTGTCAGACCTTCACTCACCCCTGCCATCACAAGATCACCTCTCAATCCTCTGACTCTCCCCAAGCACAGGACAAAACTGTTCTCTGAAATTTCCTTATCTACCTAGAGACCAGACCTGCCAGAGAGAAATACAATTGCCTTCCCTGAAATTTCATTAACCAGAAAAGATTAAAACTCATGTCACAGAGGAAGAGATTGAAAAATTAAATACCACACCCAGATCCCAGAGAGACTTTGAACATTTTCTGTTCACAGGTCTCATTCAATTCTCAAAAATAATTGTTCACAAGATAATGTTCTGCCTTATGGGTCCGTTCATTCCCCCAGAAGGTCATTCACTCCTACAGGCTCATCTCCCCTTTTCCTATAATCAAGTGCATATAAGAATCTATACCTAATTATTGGATTGTTGGGTAAACATGTTCCTGTGATTTCTCCATGCTGTGTACATTAAAATAAGTGTGTACATCCTTGACATAGTTTGGTGGTGTCCCCACCCAAATCTCATCTTGATTTGTAGTTCCCATAATTTCTACATGTGGTGGGAGGGACCTGGTGGGATGCAACCGAATCATGAGGCAGTTAAGTTACTCCATGCTATTCTCATGATAGTGAGTTCCCACAAGGTCTGATAGTTTTATAAGGGACTTTTTCTCCTTTTGTTCAGCACTTCTCCTTGCTGTTGCCATGTGAAGAAGGATGTGTTTGTTTCCCCTTCCACCATGATTGTAAGTTTCCTGAGGCCTTCCCAGCCATGCTGAACTGAGAGCCAATTAAACCTCTTTCCTTTATAAATTACCTAGTCTCGGGTATGTCTTTATTAGCAGGATGAGAACAGACTAATATAGTCTTTTTTCCTTATTAA